CCCCCGTCTCTTGCTAGTGCACGCCCGATGCCGGAAATGCATTTGCATGGAGGGTGGGGGAAACGAGGCCTGGGGCAGCCCATGCGATCAGCTCAGCAGGGTGGATGCAAGTCTCTGCCTGGTGTCTCTGCCTTGCTTCTCATTCAGGATCACAAGACTCCAGCCACCCACCGGACCAAAGACGTCCAGGACGGGGCTGCCACAGCCCAGGCCCCGCTAGGCCCCAGGGAGCCAGACGAGCTGCAGTATGCCTCCATCAGCTTCTCCAAGCTGCAGCGCAAAGGGGGGGAGCCTTCGGAGGACCCGGACACAGAATATTCTGAGGTCCGGCTGAAATAGCCCCCTCGCGCCATGGGCCCAGGCTGGGTGTCTCCGGCTCGTCCAGTGGAAGGGCGGGGGTCACAGTGAGGAGGGAAGGAGGCAAGGGGTCGGCCCAGGGCTGGACCCATGACATTGGAAACCTGGGTGCAAATCCTTGCTTGGCCCCGGACTCAGGGCGGAGTCAACTAGGCCTTGGAGATGCTGGAGCACTGCATTGTGGGGAGGTATCCCAGAGTCCTGTGCAGCCGGGTCCCAAAGCCTGCCCCCTCCCAAACCCCACTGTCCCTGGGGGAAAGAGCCTCTCACCCCTCAGCCATAGATCATCTCTCTTCTACACTGCCTGAGTCCTCACCCCCTCGTTTCACAGATGGACAGGATTTTCAAGCGCGGGGGCAGCAGTTGGCAGGAGCAGGGGGATGGGCTTGTGTCTAAGGTGCTGGCCTGGTACTTAGGCTTCCTGGCTTCTAGTCCCTGCTCCACTGAAACTGCTGTAGGTGAGGTTGGGCCAGTTGCTGCAACTGTCTGGCCTCAGTTTCCTCACCTTGAAAATTGGGATAATAATGGTGCCATGGGCTAGTTATGTTATAAATTCTTAGGGGCAGGGACTGTCTCTCGCTGTGTGTCTGCCCAGACACACAACGGGCCCTGGTCTCTGTCTAGGTCAATCAGTGCCACGTGATTATAACTTCTTAATAACAATGTTCTATTGAAGGTAACTTGTTCACTCCAAAGCCAAAAGCATCCGACTCTAAAATTCCCTGTTCACGAGCTGTTACTTGAAATAGATTTTCATGTGTCATTTTTTGTCACTGCTGCTTTTTCAACAAAGGGCCACTAACAACTCTGACTTATTTGTGTCCAGTAAAGAATAAGTTTTCACGTCTGCCGTTCCCCGGGAAGGCCCTGATTGCAGCTGGTTTCTGGGCAGGGCTGGGCATAACATGGCCGGGATCCCAGCTAGGGCAGGGCCTGTCCCCTCACTGTGCCTGGGCAGCGCCCAGCATGACGGGGCCCTGATCTCAGCTCGGGCAGGGCCAGTCTCTCGCTAGCACCCAGCTGTCACGGACTCACAGGACTCATCTTTGCTTGGCTACGTATGGCCCCTGGGAGTGACCCTCCTTCGGCGTGACAGCCCCCCGGGACGGTTTCACTCTCTCTCTCTGGGGTTAGGCACTCTGGCAAATCCTGGGAATGCACCTCTGAGCTGGCCTGTCTCTGCCGTGGGCCCCCTCAGGGAGTACCTACTCTCCGGACCCCTGGGGCCTGATAATGTGTTGGAGGAGATCGGCTTCCGTTACCCCAGCTTGCCAGAACCTGCAACTACCATCACGAGAGTTCGCCAGACCCCCTCCAAGCAGCTGCATGGACTGTTGGCGAGAGGGACTAACAGGCTGCCACTCACCTATCCGATGTGATGTATCCGAGTCACGGCACCAGGATGTGAGAGGGCTTATTCCTTCACCCTCCCACTTCCCTGGTCCTTCTCGCATGAACAGAGAGCAACAATACCCGAAGGAATATTCTCAGCTATACCTTAACCAATCATTTTACTGAAATCTATCTAACCAATCCTAACATATCGTAACAGAATTCTCTAACCAATTATATCCCACTACCCTAATTAACTTACACCTAGCAACATTAATTATACAGCAGACAAACAATTAGAGAACCAGGCAGATTAACAATAGAAAAGTGGGGGCCATAAAGATAAAACATACTGAAATGAGGGTTTTACAACCACAACCATTGAGAAGTGATCTCTTGCCAGACAGGATGCTATCAAACTAAGTTTTCTTTTATCATCTTTCTCTGGAGGTGATGGGCATTATCAGGACAGGATTGTATTCCTAACAGGCCAATACCCCCTTATGTCAGTGTGGCTGGTTTGGGATGTGAGGATGTGACCGTTCACTTCCTGGCTTATAGCTGACCCTGCTGCTTGGCCAAAGGCCTGAGCCTAAGAACCAGGCCTCAGACTGTCACAGTGAGAGAAGGCCCAGACACGGGCAGACTGTGATTTTGATTCTTTTATACCTCCATAACTAGCTAAATGTTAAACATATACCTCAATTCTTAAAGTCTAGGCCTTTACAGACAGGCCTGAATATCTATATCCTAACACTCCACCCCTGTTTTTTTCTTTTGGGATCTTCCTGCCCAGGTATCCCTGGGAAAGCATAGGACATATGGCGACACATTTCCTGATAGGGCCAGGCATCAAGTGGAATATGTTGATGCTCCCTCTGTCCCACTGCCCCTTGTGTAGTACAAAGCCCTGCACCTTCTCTCGTATGGGCATACCACACCTATTCCAATTAGTGTTCCAGACTTCCCATTATAGTGGGCCCGAGAAGGTTGGGTCAGGGTTGTCTAGTACACTGGGGGGGGAGGGCTTACTACATTACTTATAGGTTATAATTAGTGGCTGTTCTCTAGGGGGTTGTGCCCCCCTTGATCGTTTCCATACGCAACGTAACACAAATACAGTTAACAATACACCAGCTGCTATGACCATCCACAGCAACACCGAGAGCCCTGACCACTGCAGTATGGTCCAACATCCTGGCCACCACCAAGACCACTGCTTCTCCTCCTTCGGCAGGGTTAAAATGTTGTCAGCGCCATCCTGTAGTGTGTATTGTAAGTGTGTCCAACTGTTGGCACCTGCAGCAAGTTGCTCTTGTAATTTTTGTGTACTTTTGTCCGTATTGTGTGCCCATTGAATATCCACAGTGAAATCTGGCATTGTCCAAACCAATTCAACTACTTGGTACAGCATGGGGTAGTAAGTGCTCACCCCTGCGCCGCCTCCTGCTGGTTACTTCTGGGAATTAGCTCATCCCAGCTCCGGAGCGCACTCTGCAGGCCGGTGATCCACCTTATCGCTAGCCCCCGTGTCACTCCCAGGACCCCGGTGCCCCTTTATCTGGGGGGCTGCCCCCTGGCAGTCACCCGTTTCTCTTTGGGTCTCCCCTCTCCAGGGAACCCCAACCCACTATCCCCACCTTGCCTCAGAATAAGGCCACTGCCGGTCACCACCTAGCCCCCGCTCCCTGGGGCAGACTGCAGTATAGGCCACTCATCACAGGCAAAGGGGGTTTGGACCTGCTGCCTTGGCCTACCTCTGGGCTGCCCTCTGCAACCCCCAGTACCTTTTAGCCCATTGCTAGGCCGCAGCCTGGGGCTTTCCAGGCTGGAGCTCCCCAGCTCCTCTGCCTTTCCCCAGCCCTGCTTCACTCAGGTACCTGTCTCTAGCTCCCTGCAGCCAGGCCCTTCTCTCTTAGAGCACAGAGAGAGACTCCTTCAGCTCCTGGCTTCCCTGGCCTTTATAGGGCCTGATTGGGGCGTGGCCCCCAGCTGAGGCTGCTTCCCCCAATCAGCCCAGGTTTTCCCCTGCCACAGCCCTCTCCCAGGGCTGCTGTTAAACCTTTCAGGCCAGGAGCGGGTAACCACCCCGCTACACCGTCCAATTTACCCCATTCCACCCTCCCACACCTATTTCCTAGTGGCTCCCAACGCACTCCCCCTTCCCTAGTTACTCCCAAAGGGTTTAAGGGGACCATCTTATTTGCATTTCCTTTACATGGTATCATAGTAACAATTACACAAGAACTGTCCCT